AGGCAGGAGACAAGTTTGTAGCTGTGGTCAGCCAGTTCATCACATTAGCCAGCTTCAGCTTCTCAGATGTGGAAGATCTCCTGATGGAAGCAAAAGAGCTGGTAAGGTCACTGGTGTCAGTGAGATCCTGGTTGCATTTCAGCCTTTCCTCCAAGGCTGGACAGGAGGAGGGTAGGAGGAGGGTGATAGGAGAAGAACCTGCTCCATTCACAGAGTTTGTGTTGCGTGTTAACATCTCAAGTGTCTCTCCCCCGCAAGATCATGCAACATCTCAAATGTCTCTCCTCCATGAGGTCACATGTATGTGGGCATGGTGAGCATCCTGTGGAGACCCAGGCAAGAGAAAGGCTCTGGGATGCTCTTCTGGGCACGTGGGTGGTGGGCGAGTGGTGCATGTTGTCTGCACCAACAGCCTTTTGGAATCACGGATGAGGCCAACAAAGATTTTCTCGGATACAAGGTGTGTAAGGAACTACAAGGCAGGGGCTCCCCTTGCAAGAGTTGTTAGTGAAAAGAGAAGACGGTAGCTCATTTGTGAGGATCTGAGTTTTGGTGAAGGGCTCTCACTGAGAAGTAGAGGCTGACTTCACCCCCTGTTTTTTAAACATGCCCGGATTCCACTCATTTTATCATTATTTCTTAGGAAAACAGAAGCGGTGTTATTTTGTAAACTGTGTTTTGTGATGATAACTTTTTCAGCCTTTCCCCGTTCCAGAAATATGGCAGAGAAGCCAATGCCTCAATGATAATCAAGAATTACCCTGATTGATTATGGCTGATATTGTGTGACCTATCAAGTTCCTCTCTGCATCTCTTAATGCTAAACTTCTTAAAACAATAAAAGAAAAAAATGCCTAAATGTCTTATAAAGGTCCTGAAAAACACCTCCAAAAATAAAGCTAAATCATCCAGGCAGACTTTAAAAATGTTCTTCTCATTCAACAGAGCAAAATCAAAGCAACTAATAAATTTGTACTTTGATTTTGTTTTCCCTTTTTCTTTTAAGTTTCCATATCTCAAGATCAGGCTCCCTCAACTTTAGCAAACTTTCTATGTACAAATAGTCTCCTTCAAGCTGTACATGAGAACAAAGGATTTCAGCCCAAAGGACAACTCGGGGGCTCCTTGGGGACACTGCTGCCTTGGCAGATACTGGCTGTCCTGTCCTGACCCTTGCTACAGCTTTATTCAAATCACTTACTTACGTTAATGGTTTGCAAACAGCATGGAAGGCCGGAAAGCTTCCCACTTTCCTGCCCATTTTCTGCGCCCAGGCAGAAATGCCTTTTAGAAGTTCCACCAACACATTTGGTTTCAATATCAGAGCATGTGGCAATGATAAATAATGCCCCAAAAATACTTCAAAGAGAAGTTAAAAGTGCGGGTTTCCCTTCCCCTGCCGTGTTTACTATTAGTTTTATGTCTTCAGTCTTCGGTCCCACAATATTTTGCTTCCTTGTTTTTACGGCTGGTTAGTTAATAAAATTGAGTTAGGGACCATGGGACACTAAGCAGAACCAGAGGTGTGAAGCTTTGCATGTGACTTTAAAGAAGGATGTTTTAAAAGGGAGGATTCTGAGTGCTCCCCAGCTGGACTGTGATGAAGTAGCTAAGGAAGGTAAGATGGGAGATGATTTATTCCAAGCTTAAGTTAAGGCTTGATTAATCCTATCCCTATTTTTAATGAAGCTCCTCATCCCTTAAAGCATTTCTCTCCAATTTGTGAGGTCAAGCACTTCCCATGAAGGATTTTACCAGACCAGTGGATGCCTCTCCTTAGACTAACAGACTCCTACCTCCTCTCTCCCAGTTTTCTAAGGCTGTGAAGCACTTTGGAGAAGACACGGACAAAATGCAGCCGGACGAGTTTTTTGGCATCTTTGACCAGTTCCTTCAAGCTGTGACTGAGGCCAAGCAGGAGAACGAAAACATGAGGAGGAGGAAGGAGGAGGAGGAGCGCCGTGCGCGCATGGAGGCCCAGGTGAGAGGGAGCAGGGTGCTGCAGGAGCCACCACCTTTCCCTCTTGCGTTGTTTAATTAATTCACTAATGACTTGGGAGGTGGCATGAACTTGAGTGCTGGGCTGCGCTGAAGAAGAGCTGGACTCCTTCTCTAGCTCTTTGTCTCGTTACATCCGTAGATCTCCTCAGGAGATCTTTGGCGCCTAGGCCAGCGCCTTGCAGCCAGCTGTAGCAAAGAAACCCATTTTTGCTTCTTTTTAAGTACCTCTTTTTTAATTCCAAGCTGTTCGGGAAGGGGAGGAGGGCCCGAAAAGGCTTTAGAACACGATATATGGGGTCAGCGCTGAGCTCTCTCTCCCCGTCCCCACACAGCTCAAGGAGCAGCGGGAGCGGGAGCGCAAGGCGCGCAAGGCCAAGGAGAGCGGCGAGGAGGGCGGCGAGTTCGACGACCTCGTCTCGGCCCTGCGCTCGGGCGAAGTCTTCGACAAGGACCTCTCCAAGCTGAAGCGCAACCGCAAGCGCATCGCCAACCAGCTGGCCGACGGCAGCCGCGAGAGGCCCGTCACCAAGCTCAACTTCTGAGGGACCTGCCCCGGGGGCACCACGCGCACACGACACAAAAAAAAACAAAAAAGAACACAAAAAGAAAAAAATCGAAAAAAAAAGAAACCATTAGCAGTCTTTTCCAAGTGGCTAGTTTTTTTTTTATTATTGTTATACTGCCTTGTGATTCGGACTGAAGCAGTGGCACGCTCTGTCTCCGTGGGGGTGAGCGTGTGTGTACATATATCCTGTATATATAGAGCCGGGGGGGTTGTGTGGCTGGGGACAGGCGTCGGCGGGGTGTGCGTGGGTTGTGTCCGTGCGGGTGTTGTGTGTGTGTGTGTGTGTGTGTGTGTGTGTGTGTGTGTGTGTGTGCACAGCCGCGAGTCTCTGCGC